GACTTCTAGCTGAACTTTGCTGCCTGGTGTTTATATGTTTATATTTGTTCAATAATCGGCTGATTAATGATGTATGTTTTCCATGGTTATCATTCAGTTGTTGCAGATCTTTATCTGGTGTTTGGTTTGGTTTGTCTGACCTGAAGCCACAGCTGAAGCTCTTATTTGATACTGAGGCGGATATGAGAAACCAGAAGACACAGGCTGGCCTTTATCCCTGTGCTTATATTTGTTTTGAGGGAGAGTGTGCACTCTGGGTGTGTTCTACTGTGCAATTTCGGTTTTTGCTGCTGCTTTCAGTCTGTGTAGGAGATCCACAGTAACCCAAAATGCTGTTAAAATTTGGCTACAGTTGAAAGGTTTGGCTTTTTAAAGCGGGTGGCGTGCCAGATATCTGACTACACACTTAGCTGGTCAGACATTCACAGTAGCTCTCAAATTTAGGAGCCTTTGCAGACACCAGATAGTGGATGAAGAAGTGAGTAGCCAGCCTGGCGCAGCCTGGGTCATGTGGTTCACAGACGTAGGTCTGTTTTTCTGAACCCTTTAGCTTTTGACCCCTGGAGAGTTCATGGTAACCATGAGCTTTTCTTTCCAGAGTGGTTTCACCCTCAGACTTTCCTTATTCACTTTAGCTACAGTTTCACCTGATTTCTGATAAATACTAAAGGGCCAAGACGTCTGCAGTTTCGAAAAGAAAAGAACTGCGTATAAAGATTGCTTGCACGTTGACTGGCATGTTGGGTAATTCCTGTTGTGCAAGTTCTATTATCAGTCAGAGCCGTGACTCGTCTTGATTTCTCGATGATCCTGTTGAGGTGCTTTTGAAGGCTTTTGAAAAGTGATAATTATTTTTTTTAATGTTTTTTACTCCCTAAACATGAAACATTACTAAGAGGAAATGGTACAAGATGTTGGAACGGCAATAATAAATAAATACATAAATAAAAGTATTCAAAAACAGAATTTCAATAGTTAAAGTTTAGCAGTTACAAAGTGTTCTATTCACCTGGAATGTGTGTATTTTAAAATTTCTATTCAGTCCTAAGGGGTGTGTTAGGTATGGGGGTGTGGGGTGTTAACAAATCAAAAGTAGAATCACAAATAAAGTTACATGTGTATCTAAATGAGCAATGGCAATAATCGAGCCAATACCTTAACTAGAACTGGAGACTTTATCTTAGTTTACATGTCAGTTAGAAAACTGATTTATGAAAGAACTGTGTTCGACTTCGCTTCTGTAGGTGTCGCCATGCACCGTTTCATGTTGGCCTTCTGGTTGGTCTATAGTGATAAACAAATGTTTGCAGGAGTGAAGCAGATGGAGTTAAAGCAGGTTATGTGCAATGGCTGAATAAATGAACGACAACATTGTTGAAACACAGTAAATTTGATACCAACTGCCCTATTTGATTGTGTTACACTGTCAGACAATTCATGTAGACGAGATCAGAAGACTGCTTCCATGGTCTCATCGCTTCTGGAAGGGGGAGTGTACAGGGCGATTAGAGCTTAGCTAATCTGGGACTATACCCCTTTTTAGAAGACACCATGCTGGCAAATTAGTGCAATACTGCTGCCACGGTGTGTCTTATGAAAGTGACATGGCAATGCAGGAATTTTGCAGCATTTGTTCAGCAAAACTTGGTAGTAATATTACCGCAACGCCGGACTTGTGAAAGAAGATTAGACCTAAGCACAACAGAGGGAGGTGTCCTGGTCACGTGGGGAATTACTGCCGAGCTCCGGCCAGCAACTATATTGAAATATGGGCCGTAAGTTTCACTTTTGTTGTCTGAGCGCGATTTCAATCGCAATGAAAACTGTTATGTTTCATGATTGCACCACATTACCGCCACTCTGACCACTTACAAATTACCTAAGGCCTGATGTCGGCTCAGCATCGCGGCAAATTGGCAGCATTGTTTTCTAAAAGAGGCTTTTGTTAACAAGCAGGTACTTGGTTTTCTAACCGCAATGTCTGGGTACTTTGGCCCGATTAGGAGCAGCCCAGTTTGGTTTGACTCCAGTGGGACTAAGGTGTATAAATGCATTTCAAAAGTCTGAATTTAGTTGGAGTAAGGTGATGAATTTTTTCTTAGAGCGTGTTACAAACTGACCCTTTTTAAGATTACTTCCCCCCATACCCCCAGTGTCCGATATTACCAATAACATTTCATTTCATTTATTTATTTATAAAGCCCCTTCTGCGACCAAAGATGCCCAAGGTGCTGAACACAACATAATAAAAACATAAAACCATCAGAAGAAAATATAGCAATCGTAAAACCAACTTAAAACAAATAATTAAGAGAGGAGAGTTAAAACAAAAAATAAAATCCTGAAAAAGATTAATAAGCCGGGGAAACGAAACCAGGTAAAAACATGGAATCCGTAGGTCCTAGTTGGTCATCCACTGAGTCTTTGAGACCAAATAAATGGGTTGGTGGGAGGGTCATTCTTCATTAGGGTGAGTCAGACTGGATAAGCAGTTAAAAAACAGGGACAAGCTTTTCTTTTTTACAGCTTTATTCAATTATTGGTTTTAATTTCATTAGCACAATGCTCACTATCTAGTGTGGATCAGACAGACTTTAGAGGATTGTTTACAACAAAAAATATGACAACAGAGCACCATCACATCTGACTGAAAGAATGAGATCGTTCACCTTGGGGTTTTTCTCCCTTTCCAACATAGCGACTGTTCTCCTGCTTGATGAACAACAGTAATTTAGGAAGACATTGTGTTAACGCAGAGTGATTTGTGCGTGTGGACTGTCAGGCATCTTGTCAGTCTCGCAGTTTTAATTGGATGTTTTCCAGACTTGAGCTTTTTAAAGCACACACCTGCATTTTTATCGAAGAGCAACCTCACTGTCCCAACATTATTTAATGCTTTCAGTTAAAAATATGCATTGCAGAAAGTAGGTTCAAAATCCATATTGACCACATTAAAGAAAATAAACATTACTAAACATGTTTTGGACAGAAGGTAAACCCAACTGATCAACTTCACATAGCCAGGGGAGCTATCAGCTCTTAAATGTGTGCCTGAGAGGGTCTGTTTCTGTAAGTTTTTTTTTGTCAAATGTTGCAAAATAGGGAAATCAAACAAAAAATCCTTGAAAAGAAGGTTATCGGTAAAAAAAAAAGTATGTATTTAAATATTTAATTAATAATGTAAAAGGAATCTTGAGTTTTGACCATGGGGGAACCTCCACCTGCCAAAAGTGAGGCCAATGCAAAAGTGACTACATTTGCAGTTCCCCTCTCATCCACTAGGGGCTGGCTACAGAAAGGAGCAAGTTCCCATTGACTCCAAAGTTAAAAATGTCAACTTCCCAGCAGAAATAAACATGTTTACAGACTGGTTCAAAAAAACATTTCTGGTTTAATAGGTCTAGTTACCCATCATGGCAACTCTGAGGAGGGTGAACATTTTAGTTACTCTTCCATTTAGATGTCAATGAAGTTTGAAATTATGAACACTTAGGGGTTTGTCCTGTTGATTGGCAGGTAGCAGATGCGCTGTCAGCGTTAGAGACTTGCCCCCCGCTTGCTTCAGGGAAGGCCTTAGCCTCAGACTCATGTTAAGATTGTTGCAGCCTCGAAGGCAGAGTGTAGCAAAGTCATTCAACTGCGGTGTTCTGGATAAAAAGCGCCCACCAACTTCTGTTAACTTTGGTTAGCTTAGTTAGCTTGTACATTGGCTCAGAGTTTGATTGGAGTCAATCATTAGTATTTACTGGGAGTAATGAGACATGTTACGTGGCCAAGATGGCGGTAGGGGGAACCGCCTACTGGGCTTCAGTGCAGCTCTAAGGAAACCTACGGGTGACGGTGTCAGTATCAGATCTGCTCGGGTGCCAGATCGGTTCAAGGACCTGCACCTGCCGATGACGTCACACTACATGATTGGCTGACGGGAGGACTTTCTAAAGTTACGATACCACGTTCGTAAAAGTTACATTAGCATGTTGACACCGAAGATTTTGATTGGTCTGAACAAATTTGTGGTTGTAGTCCTTGCGGTTGAAGTTCTGTAGTGCAAAATAAATTCCAAATTTTTACAAATGGACATGGCTGCTAATTATGTAAATTTGTTTTAAAACTATCACATTTAAGACCTGTTTATTCTTTTTAACAAAGACAATGTGTTGTTTTATTACCAAATTACAGTTATAAAGAAAACATTTAGGCCGTAATACACAAGAATATATAACAACACAGCTAAACTCTTTCCAAAACGTATGTGTAAAAGCCAAGTGGATTTGCCATTGTGTGATGTCATCGGCAGGCACAGGACCTTGAGCTTACCTGGCACCCGAGCAGATCTGGTACCGACAACTGCACGGAGGATTCGCTCCTCTTATTTTTACAGACTTTATTTTTTAAATTTGAATTATTTAACCTTTATTTACCAGATGAGTCGATTAAGAACTCATTCTCATTTACAACGATTTGGCCAAAAGGCAGCCGCAACAGACATATAATTAGCTTTACACCAAAGAACAGATAGATAGATAGATAAAAACAAACAAGATAAAATGATGAAACAACAGTTGGTCATAAAGACAGACTATAGTTTTGGCAAATCTGTCCCCAAAATGACATTTCTTCTGTATTTTAAAATGTTGCTAGTGTGGTCGCTCTCGCCACCTTCTGGCCTGGATGGTGATATTTTCTTAAACTGAATAAGAAAAAGGATCAGTTGAAGAGATCTTAAAAGACCTGAGTCACAGGGCAGCATCTGACTGCTCCATTTGAATTTATTATTTTAGTAGTGGCCACAGGTGCTTATTATGAGAAGTACTCATATCATAACTGAATGTGTAAATGAGCACTGATGTCTCTTTGGTTAGTATGTGTTTATAGTAATATGTGGGACTCGGGTTCAATCACAGAGAGTGTTGATTGCCACATTAATTAAAGATGTTACATGATATTTGTGGCTTAAAGGAAAATCTAAACTGAATCTTTATTTTTGGCTTTTTCTTCAGGATCGCAACAGATCCATCGACAGCTTCAACATGGGTCCTCTGGAGACCTCCCTGATCGACATCATGAGGGCGGAGCAAGATACCCTGAAAGGTAAATATGGCCACCCTCCATCACACACGCACATGGTTTTTATATCTTTATGTTTGACTTGTACTATGTGATATTTATATAATCATCTGTTACTTACATGCAAACATAATACAGTTTTAAAAGCCCAGCTACAATAATTTTTGGAAAAATGTCAGTGCCATATTGACCTAGTGTTTAATGTCATTTAATTATAATTTTTTTGTACAATGACTGAAAATCTGAAAGCTGAACATAATTTTTGACAGACTGGAAAATGTGACCAATCGATGCTTGACAACATTATCTAGTTCACAGAAACCTTCAGTGACCACTTATTGATCAGTCATTGATCTGATTTCCCTCAGTGTTCTGTGGAGTATTGTCAATATCTGTTGATCGTAGTTTACTGATTATGGGATACTGAAACAGAGATTGAGATTCCCTTTTGGGTAATTGTGTAGCCCTAGTTTGACCATCTTTTCCTCAGTAGAAGATTTGAGAGTGGCAAAAATCAAAATAGTCCACAGTAATGGTTGAAAATCTTTCAGTTTGAGTTACAACATAGACATTGGACATATTTGCTAAGGACTCAAAACACCTTGCCACTAGTTGTGATTCTGTATCCATAGATCAGAATTATTTTAGTTTAGGTTTGTTTTACCTATCTGAGTCTTAAAGACCAGACAATACTCGTGAATTGTTATGTGCTATATTGACCAGTCAGTGTTAGCTGAATGTGATTATTTATTTCTCTTTATTTCATTGATATAATTTGGCGCGACAGTGGCTCAGGGATTAGTAATTCACCTGCTAATCGGTGGGTTGGAGGTTCGATCCCAGGCTCCTTCATGTCAGTCGTTGTATCCTTGGGCAAGACACTTCACCCTCCTTGTCTGCAGCCGGTGGTCAGAGGGAGCGGTGGGTGCCATAGGGCAGTGGTGGCTACGCAGTTGCTCATCACCACCGGCGTGTGAATAAATAAATAAATGGATGAAGGATTCTCTGTAGTGTAAAGCGCTGTGGAGTCCTCTGACTCACATACCTGCAAACGTGTAGCTTTTTTAGCGTAAATCACCGTTTTTGAGCCAAATGTGGCGTTCACGTGAATCGTGTAGATCTGAAAGGTTTTTGCTTCTGTCGGGTTTCAGTTACTCTTTATGAGAATCAGTCAGAGAAAGGAGGGGGGGATTCATCTTGTTCACATACGATCTGTGTTCTAGTGTGTTAGCCACATGTCGTCATTTGACCAATCACAGTTGAAGAGACGGCACGCTGCAGACAACGAGGCAGAGCGGTGCTCAGTGAGTGGGAGGGCTGTCGCTTTAACTTCTCACAGCAGTTTTGAGCTTAAAGTTAGTCAAATCAAACAGAATCATCACTAAATAACAGTTTTCTGTCAAGGACTTTAGCAGATTTGCCTTTATGGAAGTTGAGTTCGGAGTAAACACAGCCAATATTTAACCCCGTTAAAACCTAATGTTAGTAACATAAATACTTTTTCTAGTAAGAAATGGGCACCAGTATGCTACAGCCTTACTCATTTAAAATGCATCCCAATATATTGATCTATCCACCAGAAGGTTTAATAAAAACGAGGCATGCACTCAGAAAGGTGCTCTAAAAATGTGGGTCATTTATTTGACAATAACTGTAGAATATTTTTACAGATTCACAGAAAACATTTGCCCACGCCAAAACATCTTTGTTGGGTTTAGGGTGCGTGATCACGCTGAGACAAGGCCAGTGATGTTAGTTTGATAGTTGTTTAGTAGGCATGCTAGCGTGTTGATGTGTTCATGTCATTTCCATTTCCAGAAAACTTTGCATTAATAGACGATCACTGTTCTCTATCAACAAAATGCTCAAACTTGGTGATCATGTTGAGTGTGAGCAAACCAGAACTGAACACACACTTTAGCTGAACAGTGCTGACCATTTTTATTTAAAATGATTTATTTCTATTATTTTTCAGCATTTTGGCTAAGTTGTTGTGGTTATTTCAGCATTGTTGCCTTTTCAGCGTGCAGATCACAGTAATCACAGCTGAAGAAAACTGCTAACAGAAGACAGTATGGCCACTGTGTTCACTGTTGGTTGAGAGGGAGGAGCTGGTTCTGGTAGTGATCGCTGAAAGGAAACACCTTCCACTTCCAAGGGCTTTAGTAGTGTTGAGGCATTTGGGTGGGGCACACTTAACAGAAGCTGCCAGTAGTCACTGTGTTTCTACAGGGTTACCACATGGCTTAATCCTAAAGAGCAACACCCCTTTAGCCGGGTTGTAACAATCTGCTGAGCTAATAGATTACCTTAGGACTGTGTGTGAGCTTTAATCTTAAAATAATAGATCAGAAGTAGTTTTTCTGTTTAATCACACAAAATGTCCTAAAATACCTTCATGATCATAAAAGAGGCCACCTGTCAAAGTTTGCTGCGAGGTTACTGAAGAAAGTGAAACTCTGCAGTGCTCTGGCCCCAGAATGACTCACAAGACTCATCACATGCAGCTGTGAGTTTGTGTTCTGCTGTCAAATCTTTCCAAGAGCAGGCTTTTCTACTAGCTCTGTTATGGTATTTGGGCCACAGATGTTTCCTGATGAGTTAAACATAAAGGCTTCTCTCACTTGTGCTTCCATTGTTGGAAAACGGCTGTTTTGTTGTGATACAAGTTAAACCTCCTGGTTATACATTTTACCTCTGCACAAATGATTTATTTACTTTTTGACCTTCCTTAGCCTCTGATTGGTTCTGATAATGTGACCCATTGTAAACCTCTCACATGATGCATTACAACACATCCTCCCCTTGTGTGTTTTTTTTTGTTCTTTGACGTTTCCGCCCTCAGGATTAAAAAATCTGTAGCCCTCTCACTAACAGACAGCATGCCTAAAAAAGGCAATTTAGACACAAATGCACACAAGTTTCTGATTTTAGATGATTCTTATTCAACAAAAGAATCACAACAAAACAGGCGAGACAAAATGTCTACAGTAGAAGTGGCTTTGAGTCACTTCCAGCATTGTCCTGACTGACAAAAAGGATCCCTCTGTTCAGCCACCACACGTAAACACACCACTGTTGTGTGTGTGAGCTCGTGCGTACATGTGCTTTAATCATTTGTGTATTGTGAGTGTGTGTGTGTGTGTGCAGCCAGCGGCATGCAAATGAGGTTCACAAAGCAGCCACACACTGTCCTGCAGACATGTAGGGATGTGATGTACCTGCGTGCTCCTCAGAGATTATAAGAGGCTTTAAATCCCACATAGGCTGTGATTCTATATTTATGTTTGGTCTGTGACGCATCTGTGTTCACCTTCTGTTTGTGAACTTGCTGAATGACACTTATATGAATTGGTCAAATCTGCAACCAGGATTGAGATTGTCGGTATAATCTGTTTTGGGTTACCAGATAAAACTGGAGCACTTCACAAACACATCAAACCTATATGCTTCTGATTGTAATGAACAATCTTGACGGAATGGATGATTGTAACACCAACTTTTAAAAGCAGCGGGTGGGCACTCGTAGTTTCTGTTGAATTCTACTACTTTTTTCATCATTCTGTGGCGCTCCGTGGGCGGAACGTGGGGGAGGAACCGGCAGATCTCCTTGTGACAGGGGCATCGGAATGCACCAATCGCCAGGCGGTCCATATCCAAACAACAATGGTTGCTTTATTTGACCTCTTTCATCTCATTATGCTGAAAGGGGGCCTTGCATTACTGTGAAGCTTTTTTGGCATCATAACATGCATTTAAGTGTGTGTGTGTGTGTGTGTGTGTGTGTGTGTGTGTGTGTGCGTGTGTGCGTGCGTGCGTGCGTGTGTGCGTGTGTGCGTGCGTGCGTGCGCGCGCGTGTGCGTGCGCGCGCGTGTGCGTGCGTGCGTGCGTGCGCGTGTGCGTGCGTGCGTGCGTGTGTGTGTTAGGTGACCTTGGAAAATGTGTCACAAATGTATGATGTAGCTTCCAGATCCTAACATGGTATATCTAGTCATATCATGAAACAGGGAAAACATGTTTCAGGGCGTAAATGATGTGGACCCATTCCTGAAGTGTTGCACACACCAGGAACATACATGTGCCATGATGCCATATTTACATAGCAATGCAACGCTTTGGTATGTGTTTATTTGACATTAAGACTAGATAACTACACACTGACCAAGACAAAGGCTCTGCACCAAGTTATAGCATGAATGCTAATTTCCACCTGCAGTCACTGAACAGGTAGATGATAATATACTGAGATTATTGAAAATTAATTAAAATCGGCATACACACATGCCATTTTACACTTGGGGTGTTGTCCGGCTCCACTTTCCAATGACCACCAACCCGCAGGCCTCCAGTTCAGACCAATGGGTGACCTTGTAGAAAACCACAAGCTGCCAGAGTCACCCAACCCGAGCCAGCACGCCAAATCAGCGACTATGCAACTTATCCTGGTGTTGTTGAGGACCCTATGATGACACAAACTTGCTGTTTCTCCAGTTTGACACATTTCACGCACCAAACACTGATTTCAAAGCATTCTTTTGGGATTTGTGGATCTTAACACACAACAGGTCTAGGTTGTTGTTGTTGTTGTGAGAAAGGTCTCTGTACAGACAGCAACACCGTTTGTCCGAAGTTTGGCCCTAGCCAGTGATGAGATCAAGAAAATTATACTTTCAGGTTCAACTCTTCGCTAAAATAGAGTCCACTGATTTCATCCATTATTTCCTCATATTATTTGTTTAATCTAACAACTGATGTCCAGAACTGATTTTCAAGGAAATGGCAACGGTTGTGTTTACAGAGAAACCGTCTAATTCTTGTTCACTTAGCGTCCAGGAGAGAGCAAAGCATGTGACAGCTAGTAGAAGCTAACTATTAGCATTAGCAACTCCACAACATGGCGGAACACGTTCAGGCTTATGTTATTTGTGGAGATGAAACATTAATGTTACAGTGTGAATGGAGGCAGTGGAAGAGATGTGTTGCTGTTAGCCAATCAGAGGAAAGATGTTTGCATATTAAGCAAGGCTCGTTATTCTGCTCTTTTCTGCGCCCCCACTCCTTGGACTAACTTCTACCCCCTGAAGCAGGAGTGCCAGAGCCCCCCCCCCCCCCCCCCCACCACCACCACCACCACCACCACACACATACACACACACACAGACAATACAATACAGTATAATACAATACAATAATACTTTATTAATCCCAGAGGGATTTCAGTAAATATGATATCTTTTGTTTTGTGTTTTTTTGTGTAGGTCGTCTAGGGTTTCCCCACCCAGGGGCGGACAACCCTCTCCCCATTAACGGTACGTATTGAACCCTATGCACAATTTTAACAGGTTAGTGGAACATTAGAACGTGGGAATTAAAGGCGATGTTTGTGTCTCGCGGGTTCAGAACCTCCTGTTGCGCCATTCCTCTGTTCCCCATTCTTTAGTAACAGAGTATAACAGCCATTTTCTTTCTTGCTAAGTGAATTTGAATAAGTAATTTTGGTTGCAACCTTTTTTTAAATCTCATTGCACAACTTCTTTTGTGTTAGCTTTATTTCAACAGTTCGTACTGCTTTGCTTTTGACATAAGAGGCAAATGAAACAAAAGTGGAAAAAAATAAAATAACAGTCTTTTTTAACAGGTTGGATGAATGGATGACAGAATTAGACATATCATTGGCTTTGATTTGGTGAAGAGATGCAAAAAAGTTTGAGTGATACAAAAGAGGTGTAGGTAAAAATATTGAGGAAGTTTTCTGACATTTGTCTGATATTATAGGACTACCGTGTTGGACGTAAAGTTCTTAAGTCTTCGAGCTTTTTTTCTGAAAACCGTCAGCATGACTCAGGCTTGAAACATTCATTTACTTTCTCTCGCTGTGACTGTGGTGTTGGAACTCTGGCCGGCATGTAAAACACGAGAAGCCGGTAGTTTCTTGTAAAGCCTGCTGGGTCACATGGTCAGATCACATGGTCCAGAGCAGTCATGGTGCCTTGAGACAGATGGTGCCAGCGGATCGGGACTGCACACACCAGCCCTCTTCTCTCTCTCTCTCTGCTTCATAAGGATACGCAGATTGCATTCCTCATTCTCCTGATCCCAGCCCTCCCACCCCCTCCCCAGTCACTCTCATTTTCTCTCACCCCCACACAGCTTTTTATCAGCTCATTTCTCCATTGCTTCTAATCTGTTTTTCTCTCCCTCTCACACACATCTTTTTATAGCCCTCTGTGCTGTCTTTCAATCTGCTTAACTGCCTCTCGCTATTTTCTCCATTTCTGGCTCCTTTTGACCTTCCCCTCAGAGTTAATGTCCATCTGGTTTGGAAGGTCCGCCGAGGGAGGCGAGGATTATTGCCCATGCTTTCCAGCTGCCTCCTCACCCTTTCTTTCCTTAGTCTCTCAGCTTTAGATTATGATGACATTTGAATTCTTCGACTTCTGTTCTTAGCAAAAAAAAAACTTTATTACTCATCTGAAAGTTGGTCACATTGGTTCTTTGGAATCAGCAGCACAATATCCAAACCACCACCTTTGGTGAAATAGAGTTATAGCTACAGATAATAGTCATTTTTTCATATAGGGTAGAGTACTTTGACCTTTAGATACCAGAATCAGGGGTTTTAACGCACCACCTCAAGATGTATTGCTTTACCACATTATGTGTGACCAGGCTTCAGCTTCTGAGTTGTCTCTTCGTTTACTTATCTTTTGCAGAACATTTCCTCTCACTGCTGTGTGTGATCGTGTGCAGCAAACTTTATTTTACAGATGGGTTTTCTTTCTTGCCACTTCTGCCTGACTGATCAAATCTGGTGTTTAAATTGAAACCGTATTTGTTTTTTCTAGCACTAGCTGCTCTTTTTAAATAATATTCTACGTTTCCAAGTTTCTTTTGTAGGCATCTCCAGGGTTGCAGGAGCCGGTCTGGGATTTATTAACTCTTAACAAGACATAGTGTCACACCTCCTGTGGTCTTTATCACGTCATCCAGTAAATTACTTTCTCTTCTTAATGTCACAGGAATCCTTCTATGCATATTGCTTACCCGAGATGGAAGATCTGCTTGGGTTTTTGCATCTACCTCCAACTCGTTTGATGACGGAGCTTTATTTTTAAATATTAATGTAATGTGAGGAGACGTATCTTTTTACAAAATACATATTTTGCTTTTGAGCTGGAGTATATGGTTTACTTTTTTTTATTGCTTAAAGGGAGACTAGGCAGTTTTGGCTTGCCTTTAGCATCTCCTAGTGTTCCATTAGTGAACCCAAAAGTAATAACTATCTCCTCGCTGTGCATTTGTCACTTTAACACCTTAATCTAACTGCTGAAATGTCTCCTCAGCCTTCATTAGTGTCTACAGGAGTGGTCCAACACTGAATTAAACAAATCAGCTGTGTTCATGATCTAAAACATGCAGGAAACGTGCTGGAAGCAGACTCCAGAACCAGCTCGTCAGCTCCACTTTACTAAGTCTAACAGGGACAGGACCGGTGTTCTGACCATCTGTGCTTCCTCGTCGAATTTTCTTACCAACGTGCATTTCAACAGCTGATTCAGTCTGTCCAGGTTTACTGAAAATTGGTAGCTACTGTTAATTTATTTTATGAAAAAAAGTGGATAGTGTAGGAAGCAGTTTAGTCATTTCGTAAAAATTAACCCCTTAGTTGCTAAAAACATTTGAATATTCTCAGAACAATGACGATTTACCAACTACTTTCACCCATGTCGAGAAAGTGATTCTTAAAAATTGAGATTTGTAAGACGTTAGCTCTTACCATTCTATTTCTCTACCTAATCCTTTATTAGACAAATTAATCCACATAGAACAAATATGCTTTCCCCCAATACTTATAGTTATTTGTTTGAATGTATAATTTTGGAGATTATTATACAACTATGATAAAATTATTATATGTATAATATAAAACTTTTGGATATTAATTTGGGACTCTCAGAATGACTGTAAACAATGGGAGAAGTTTCTTGTTTACAGTATAATAACGGTATTTTAGAAGCCACTTACAAACTAACTGTCAGATAAACATACAGCAAGCAGTAATTTAATAAAACAACTTAAAGAAATCCTTACTGTGACCTTCAACGAGTTGAAAGTAACTAGATACGTGACGAGATTAAATGAAAACTTCCACAGGTAGCACGTCTCGACTTGTAAACAGCCTGTGATGCAATAATCGGCCTGTGCATGCCCTGCGCGTTTCGCCAAAGTAGTGCATTTCGACGGGGAGCACGGATAGTCGGAACACCTGCACTCTGAAGTTGAAAGTGCAATATTCTGGCCACACAGGGCGGTGGGGGTCTGAGTGACCTTTCATTAACTCTTTAAAGGGTGGTTTTACTTACTGGCTCAAGAAAATTATTAAAAAATATGAAAAGGTTGCAGAGTATGGCTTTAAATTTCACTATCTGACCCTGTTCTATGAAATAAAGTCTGTAATTTTTTTATAATTTATATTTTCCACTAAGTCCTTCCCCTGGCCTCTACAGCAAAAATGAATAATTTATTTAAGCCTAGACCCTTGACCAATAGAGTTATGTGTCCACAAGATGGAGCTGTCAGTGAGAATGCGCCCCAGTTCCCAGCATGCACTGCAGGGTGACGCACAGACAGTCAGCTTAGCACACCAACCGAGCATGAATGTTACTCTAACTGCATTGAATTGATGTCAGTCTGCAAACTTCAAGCTAACTGTGGAGGAGGGGGGGAACGAAAAGGGATTTATATTTTTTGTGTTGGAGCGAAAGCATTAGCATAGCGTTCAACCTTACGCTACATCGAATTGTAGTTTCAGCTTGTTGTAGCGTTAGCAGGGGTGTGCTACCAATGCGAGCGCCAGATTCGTCCTGGTTTTAGATGGACAGATTTGGTTAAAAAGGGCGGTATGAGGTGTGGCTTTCAGCTCTTCCAGAAGGGGTAGCAGGAATGGGACCTACAGCCATTAATATTTTAAAATCTCCTCCTCTCCTTGATGATGTCATGCAGTGCACCCCAGCTTTAATTAAGTTTTTCTTCAGCTGCTTGTGAATTTATATTCGCAAAATTACAGTCTGTGTTGAAGTGCAGTTCTGACAGTAGCTTAAAAGTCTAAAAACGTGATTTTAGTCGCTGGAGCTGTTTTAAAATGGCAGCAAAATTCTCTTTGATATTGGTTTAACTCTAACTACCCGTTAGCTTATCAGTCCTGCAGGGTACAAACTGAGGCTGCCCAGGAAGCCATCTTCTATCGTAACGAGTAATTATTTATACCTCTTACATAGAAAGACACTTTACACAGAAAAAATGCAAAGACAAACTGGACCCCCCCCCCCCCCCCCCCACACACACACACACACACACACACACACACACACCCGTTACTACATACTGGAGATGATATGAGTGGGAGCAGAGCTGCAGACTGATTATGATTCATCTCTGATTAACCAAATCAGCGGTGGGCGGGCGAGTGTGGAGCATCATTGTCATGAACCACCTGGCGCTTTTATTTGATCGGATTATTATTATGCACCGTTTCTAAACATCCTCACGTTTGATTTGTCTTTATTCCTCATGCAGCCAGGAATTATAGCAGGAGACGAGGTAAAAACGTGGTCGTGAATGTTTGCAGGGAAATTTTGAAATATTTTTCTTTTCATGTATGCATTGCAATGCCTGTTTTTTATGTGAAGTGATTTGACATGTTGCATGGTCGTCTAAATGTCATTGAGGTTGTGGAACATGCCTTTTTAAAAATATCCTCATTAGGCTTTGCTTCTTTGCATTGTTCCCCCCTTTGCATACAGTTTGCAGCATTAAATGAGACGATAGGCGTAGCTGAGAGTTAACGAGGCAGTGAGGCTCACAACTTGTTGTATGTCATTTAGTCACACTGCAGCTGAAGCAGACACATGGTGAGGCTGTAAGTTAAGACTAACACGCTTGCATAAATCTTTATAAAGCAGCTCAGAGCAGGGCAGGCTGCTTGAGAGCAGGAATGGGCCAGGGACAGCTTAGCCTCCACCACGCATATGTTCCACAGTGAAACTATTCAGACTTAAGAGTACTACAGTGTTTCACTTCTCAAAAACACTTTTTGTTCACTGCTCACAGGAACTAATTAAGTCTAATACGAATACAATTCTTGACATTCTGAGCATTTAATACTTTTTGTTTCTATATATTTATTTTCTTTATGTGCACTTCTCATACAGCTTCATCTTGCTGCTGCATGGCTGACTTGCTTTGTGTTTCAATCATTTTCCTTCAATTTGTGCTTCTTTTGTGTATTTGTGCAAAATTTGAGGCACTTTGTGGAATGGTTCTGTCACCTGCTACATTTATTTCATGTGGTTGTGTTTCGACAATCGTTTGAACGGGGGTTAAATATTGAATTCCTTTGATGTCATCAAAGAAGAACAGTTGATTTTCAGTTTTTAATTAGCATCAAGTCTTAAACCACGGATAGATGAACTATGTCCAAATTCAGAGGAAGGATCCTTGTGAAGACTCGTCCTACCCGGTCCTAACTGTCCCAGTATTTATTCCTGCCTCTACCTCGGCGTATGTCCTGTTGCTTAGCAACTGTGATGGTGATAAACAGAAGTCTGAACTAAACATGGCAGCAGTATGTGAGAAAATATGGTCGTTAACGGGCATTTTTATTATTTGATATGTAAACAAAAAGCCTAATTATTATTAAAGCAACATTTAAACTATAAACCGCTTCATCTGCCATTATAACTTCAACAAAAGTCTCTCGCAATGACTACGGGGGTAGCCACAGCCAGTGAGGAGACACCATACCTGTCCTTGAAGTTGTGGGGAACCGAGGACGTGTTTGAGTGTCCTTTCAATTTGGACGGCTCCGTTGCTTTGCTGTGATGTAATCAGCATTAAAATGCATACTTGGGAGGGTGGTGCAGCCCTAGATTTGCACAACGCCTACAACAAATTAATCCATTCAAGATGGCCGCCACAGCTAATTAACATTAGCAAGCACAAAGATGTGGGTTTTTGCACCTTTAAGTCTCTTTCACCTGACCTATTTGTTCTCTCTCTCTTTCAGGCCACTCTTCTCTCTTTCCCATGGAGGATAGTTTTCCCGACGACGAGCGTGGGGATCCGAGTCTCGCCAGCCTGGGCTCCCCGCACTGCTTTCCCCATCAGAACGGAGAGCGTGTGGAACGCTACTCACGCAAGGTCTTCGTTGGCGGACTTCCTCCAGATATAGACGAAGGTACGGCAGTCACCGTAAAAAGATGAGGGCTCAAATCTTTGTTTAATAATACGCTTTGAGCACATTATTTACAAATCCACACCGATTTCATGTTCTGTTTTTAATTTCAGATGAGATTACGGCCAGTTTCCGCCGTTTTGGACACCTGTTTGTGGACTGGCCTCACAAAGCGGAGAGCAAATCTTATTTCCCCCCTAAAGGTAACATAAACAACTGTTTGTTCTTTTGTTGCTGTTTTACGTCTCGAGTCTAAATTGGTGCCTGAAGTGTGTGTTTGTCTGATCCCAGTAATCAGCACACTCAATCCCGGCAGGATTATTTTGTCAATACTTCGTGGCCCGGACAGCCTGAGTGACCGAGTGTGTTTTCATTATTTTGCAGGCTACGCCTTCCTGCTGTTCCAGGATGAAAGCTCCGTGCAGGCTCTGATCGATGCCTGCATCGAGGAGGACGGTAAACTCTATCTCTGCGTTTCCAGCCCCACCATTAAAGACAAGCCGGTCAGTGGGAGGACAGGCTCACGAAAAGCCTCTTGTGTTCAGTTTCAGCACGCGTGGAACGGTTAGTTTACGTGTCGGGCTGAAACGTCTGCGATTTTGTTTGTGACAGGTCCAGATTCGCCCATGGAATCTGAACGACAGCGATTTTGTGATGGATGGGTCTCAGCCTCTGGACCCGAGGAAAACCATCTTTGTGGGAGGAGTCCCTCGTCCGCTCCGTGCAGGTAATCCTACCAGACTCGCCTGCAACGGGTGTGTGTTTGTGATGAAAACACTTGAGTTCTGGTTAACATGAGGGTAGAGTCTGAAGCGTTGTCGTAGTTCTCCCGTATTTTGAGTCATTTATTAAAGGTCATCAGGTGTTTTAGCCTTGCTTTAGCTCTCATGCTTTATTCTATTTTTTTCTTTAACTTGTTAGCTGTAAACAAAATGCCTCTCTCAGCGGCTGCTTTAGGGTAAAGTCCCTGACCTCCGCTGGAATCATAGAACCAACTCATGCTGAGCTGTTTAGAATATTAAAACCTTTTTTTGTTCCTGCAGTGACTAAATGCAGGATGTGTGATTCTTGTTGCCCTCCTGGCTGCCATGTTTAGACCTTGTTATAGTTTTGGTAATGACCAAGGTCAAAAAGCCCAGCGGTTTGTTAAATATTTGATGACCCCACCCCAATCAAGTTAAGAGCGTAGATTTAAAACATAAAAATGTATTTTTAGATCAAATCTTCAACGAATTATCCTAATTTGTTAAATATATTTGAAAAGCACTATGCAAGATAGAAAATAGTATTTATTTCCACTGTAACGGCTTCATTAATGTTTTTATTTACATCCCCTCACCCAAAAAGACCCAATCTTTTATTAAAAATGGAACATTTCCTCTCCTGTTTAGTGGAGCTGGCCATGATCATGGATCGCTTGTACGGTGGAGTTTGCTACGCCGGCATCGACACGGACCCTGAGCTGAAGTACCCCAAGGGAGCGGGGCGGGTCGCTTTCTCTAATCAGCAGAGCTACATTGCTGCTATCAGTGCTCGCTTTGTACAGCTGCAGCACGGCGAGATCGATAAACGGGTGAGTGGAGAGAAAAGAGCAGAGTGTTTTCTTCCTTTCTCCAGACTCCCCCTACACATGCGCACACACACACACACACACACACACACACACACACACACACACACACACACACACACACTAGGGCTGTCGCGGTTGAGGAATTCCCCCTGCGGTGATTCAGGGTGGCTTAATATTGCGGTGTGCGATATTATTGCAGCCCTTTTTTTATTGCAGTACTATCTAAACATAATGTTTACACATTTAAAAAAGGTTAAAAATTGCCGTGCCTTCTTTTATAACACTTTACTGAATGCAGATCAAAGGGCAGTAACAACACAGATCGCAGTAACGTTTGTTTCTCTGACAGTTGGAGTCCGACTGAACTTAAAAACAACAACATTCAGGAGAAGGTTAAACTTTTAAATGCAAATTTGGCTGCAGCATCTAACAAATAATAAACAAGTCCCCATTTTGTTTAGTTGTTTAAAATCAAGCATAAAAAATTACATGTACCGGGCGCGCGCGCGCCGGGGGGGGGGGGGGGGGGGGGAGCGGGCGCACTATCATTTCACTTTCACACACACGAATGACGGTGATTTATAGCTCGGTCACGTCCTTGTTACCCACAAGGAAAACCAGCATGTTAACCATATACGGTTTGAGAGAGGATCTGAGAGGGGTGGCAACATTTCCAGCAACACTGAAAACCCTCTCGGATGGTGCGCTCGTTGCACTAACGCGCACGTATTTGCGTGCGACTCTGGCGAGCAAAGGGAATCTCTCCCGGTTGTTGCTCCACCATGTCAGGGGGGTTTCTTTAGGGTGGATGCATTCCTCCTGCAGGTAGCGAGTGAGCTCCAGCTCGGCTCAAACTCTCTTCGGGACGGTTGCAGAAGCAGTGCTTGTCCGGGACTTCAGCAGGTCTCCGAGCGTTTATTTTATTTATTTATTTTTTTTTGCCGCTGGTGGCAGCTCTGTCTCGGCCAAGGACTCTGGCTGCGCAGCAGCTGACGTACTGAAAACCAAAGGGCTCCCAAAGGAGCGAAGTAACGTTTCGTTTTGATACCAGTGCAGGCGTCCTTCTCAACATGCATCATTGAGTTGAACCAAGTTCAGTAATCGCGGTGGCCCATGATGCAGCGCGGTGGGCTTCTTCATATTGCGATATTTCATTTTTGCGGTTACCGCGACAGCCCTAACACACACACACCTTACTTCCTGTTCTTTTATCTCGGGCATTCCACTCTTTCTCTGAGTTGTGCTGAAAGTCCGTTTTTTGAATCCTACAGAACTACATACAACTTTGTTTATTAAAAGGCACAATAAACAAAAATGTATTCATATCAACATTGAGATGAAATTGGACGTGACGTTCTTACAAATGAAGCTTCTTTTGAACAGAAAGCTTTAATCTAAAGTTGATATATCTGTGGAACAGAGAAACTCGAAGGTTTGGTTCGTCCACAGGAGCTGAGGTTGGTCAAAAATTTGAAGGAACTTCACTTTTTTTCAATGGCACATTTCTCGCTGAAAATGTGAAGAATCTTATCTTATGCATCACTTTTATTATGTCTAAGCTGCAGATGTGCTGCAGTTATGAGTCACAGAAATGTGTGGAGGAGCAACAAACAGGATTTTTTTAAAAGCCTAAAATCTGCCCATCTGCTCAGGAAGTCAGGATTTTCTTTGTGCGTTACAAATACAGGTGACATCTCTTCATGTTGGTGTTAGAACATTAGAGTTTCTACTTTAATAGTAGCTTATTTTCTGAGCAGATGTCCGTGTTTATATTTAACCCATCTTGCACAGTGTCATTTAAAAGTGAAGACTCACTGAGAAAACGTATAATTCTTGTTTAATAACAATTGGTTTTGCATGCATGTAGAAGGCTAACATGGTCTTCTACTCTTATTTCCTAGCCTGGCAGGCCATCCTTCATATGAAAATATATAGTCTGACCACGAACCTTTGGCACAGTTCACTCATAGGGGCAGAATCTACAGTTGTCTGTCCAACTGTGTCTGCACACAATAGGACAAAGTTATGTTTTAAAAAAAAATGCATAAATATTTTTACGGGCTCGACACTGGGTTAATGTTTACATCTACCAGCCAGTAGACTGCACTGTTGAGGTAAACAGTCTGCTCAGAACGAGGCTGGCACCGTGGAAAAATGGCAGACTCTGCAAATCAAGCAGCTGCTTCTGAGCCCAGAAGATGTTCCAATGTTAAATACTGTTGTAAAATAAACTTATTAGTAGAAATGAGTCCTTACCCTGTGCGATTGGTCACTGGACCTGGTGCTGGCTGGTCATGTCACGTATTGGCAGTGAACCTGACTAGAGCCCTGCACGGGCCTAAAATCTGAGCCCGTGTCCGGCCCGAGGGGGTGGAGCCCCAGCCCGACCGGATCCGAAAAGTTTTTCAGGATTCTCTGGCCCGACCCGAGCCCAACTTTTTTTTAACCAACTAAATGAAAACAAAGTGCGTCAATCCTGACCAATGTGTTAAAAGACGTGCAGGATCCGATCAATTTGTTTTTCCCTCATTTTCCGTCACGGAGATAACAGCGCACTGGCTCTGGTGGTAATCAAGTTAAATTTGATCTCTTTCCAACAATTTTCACAAGAAAACAAAACAGTCAAAAGCAGGGCTTGTGTTGTGTTGACCGGATAGTTCCTGTATTTGACCGTTTATTTTGACGGAGAAAGAATGGAAAGAATTACCCCGACGCAAGCAGGCGAACTGACATTTTATTCGTTACGCACATCGCAGATGTAGCTAAATCACTCAAGAAAAGATTCCCATCTGAACATCTGAGCTGGACACTGCTCAGCTCAGCTCGCTGTCAGCGCGTACGTACGGTGCACAGCGAGCTGAAGATGTGGAGATTGGCTTGGAGCGCATCGCAGAACCAGAGCGCATGCGGGAAGGTTCCTCCCACTGAAGCGAGTGTTTTCCGAACCCTGTCTCTCAGAGAGACTTGTCAGTTAGAAAATGTTCCCTGATTATGAAACTTTGGCTGATTAGCGCTTGTTCCTGTCTCCAATGTGGCGACACATCCAGGAGCCATCTGAGGAGAATCTCACATCATCTTCAGCTCAGAAAGCGCCTATGATTACGCACAAGCGTGACCCGTCAACCCGGTCTCACAGTAAGACTGGTTTGGAACTGTTCAGGTTTACGCAGACAATCTTTACATAGAATTTACGTACAGATGTAAAATTAATTGAGTAAAGGATAAAGCATTTTATTTAAATATCCATTCATTATTTTACAAGCACAGAGAGCCGCATCAGATGGATGGAGGAGCCGCGGGTTGCCGACCCCTGGTATAGCCTATAAAATGACATGTTTTTTCCTGGTCCAGAGAGGACGCAAACTCAATACATCTCTTTTATTGTGTGGTAATAATTTCTCCGAGTTTTGCGGTTGCGGGCGGGAGTAGACATGCACACTGCGGGTGCGGGCGGGAGTGTAACATACACGTTGAGGTTGCGGGTGGTAATGGTCAGAAATTCAGCGGGAGCGGGATGAAGAAAACAGTCCCGCACCGGGCTCTACTGCTACGTTTAAGTGTTTCAATTTTTTTAATGAATTCGATTTAAAATAAAGGTGCCCGACCCGTGTCCGAGGTAATTACACAGTCATTGGCCCGGAGCCCGTCGGGCCGGGCCAACCCGAGGGCCTAGGGCTTCAGTGCAGGGCTCTAAACCCGACACCCCGACAGCCTAATGTTGCAACAACAACCTAAACCCACTAGATGTCGCTATGGTGTTCGTGTTCCATAATCAACCTTTAATAAATTAACGTGCCTTGTGATTTTTATCTTGAGAGGCGCTGTATAAAAGATCATTTTCTTTTCTTTCTATCTTTAAATGAAAAAAAAAATTGTCTGAAGTTAATGTCAAAACCGTTCCTGAGCCAACTTCATCTCGTTGTATTTCTCGGTCGCAGCTCTTATGTTAAGCCTGCCCGACAAACATAGAGTGCTGTGATTGGCCAGACACAAAACTGTTCAAGCCAATGGTAGATCTGCTGAAGGTACGATGGAGCAAAATCTTTTTGCTGCCTCTATTTCCTGCACCAGCAGCCAAAACTGTTAGCATTAACAACTCCACAAAATGGCAGAACTTGTTCAGGCTTATGTTATTTGTGGAGATAAAACATCATTACATTTTTCCCCCCAAGTAGCAAGAATAAACGGAAGCAGCGGAAGAGTTACGTTGCTGTTAACCAATCAGAGGCGAGACATCTGAATATCAGGAAATGAGTAAAATTCTGTTGTTTTCCACCCCCTACTCCTCCGACTAACTTCTGCCTCCTGAAACAGGAGTGCCAGAGCTTTTTGCCTCCGAAAACGACTCGCAATACATTTATTTGTGCCAGAGACCACAGTAAATGTATAGAAATATTGAGTTTATGCCCACTTTAAAATAATTCATTAGGTTTATTTGTGCTCTTTCCTAAAGTGGCATCTAGGAATCTCAGCCAGCCTGCACTTTTAACCTCTGTTATCCAAATGGCTTAGTGGAGATGACTCGAGCAGGTGGAATATGTAGTGCAGAATAGAAAAGGCTGGGATGACAGTGCGACACACACCCTTTTGCATAATTGGTGTCTTTGTCTTGGTGATATTCACGTGCTCATAGCACCACAGTGCCGAGTTGCTGAGCCTTGGAAACAGGAAGCAAGATGTGTTTAAAAGTAGGAAGTTTGAAGAATTCCTACAATTTCAGTTTCAGCTGAATTGGCACCACAAGCTTTGAAATAGTTGTCTCCAGTGCTGCTTTTAAAACAGTCAGAAGCATTAGTTGTCAAACTATGGTCAGGATGACCGTGCTTTACTTTCTAGGCAGGGTTTGAAATTATGTCCATCTGATCTTGTCCACATATAGAGGTCTGGGGATCGTGCCCCAGCAAACACCTGAACCAGGTGGCAGAGCATCAACTAAGCTGTTATATATTTGTGTTTATTCCTCTTCTGTCTGCAGGTGGAAGTGAAGCCATACGTGCTCGATGACCAGCTGTGTGACGAGTGCCAGGGAACTCGCTGCGGCGGGAAGTTCGCCCCGTTCTTCTGCGCCAACGTCACCTGTCTGCAGTACTACTGCGAGTACTGCTGGGCGGCCATCCACTCGCGTGCCGGCCGAGAGTTTCACAAGCCTCTGGTGAAGGAGGGCGGCGACCGTCCCCGTCACATCTCCTTCCGCTGGAACTGAGCGCAGCGTCTGAGAGGGAGAGGCAACAGAGGGAGAGGTAGTGCAGGAGTCGCAAATCATTGTAAAAAATAAATGCACTTTTCTGTTGCTGGTTCCTTTTTTTGCTCTAATTTCACCTTAACATTGTTTTCTCTTTTTATTTAAAGTTAATATATATCAATATTTTGAAGATAGAAATTTAGAGAGAAAAAAAAACTGGAGGTGTATCCAAAAATGTCCATCTTGGAAGAAAAGATGTGTAACATAATTTTATTTTTCTTCTGATTTTGGAAGTGTTTTTAGTTCTCAAGAAGCATATATATTTAAGATATAGGAAGGTTTGATGTGTGATATGGTACTCTGCTTTTCAATTGGCTTATTTTTCTAAAAAGTCTATTTTCCTTTGATGCGAGAGGCCCTCGGAAGCTTTTCATGTGACATTCAGCTGTCATATACTGTAGCAGAGCTGTCACCTTTTGTCCTTTTGTACAGAAAAATCTTCACAGTTATTGGCTGTTTATTTCTGAGAGGTGGGATCAGGCCTGCCAATGCGGCAGGAGGGCAGGGCAAGCCCGACTAAAAAGGTGTGGCTAAAGAAGAGTGCACTTATTTCCAGTCTTTAAGAGCGAAGACACCGCACACGAGACCCTTTGTAGTTAACCAAAGCCGAATCCTAATTACTGCTGAAGAACAGGAAAAAGGGCCCGCTGCAGAAACGAGATGGATTCCTCCTCTCCCAAAACACACACACATGTTCATGCTACTTGAAAGGAAAAAAGAAACAAATTCTCAAGAAAATTCTTTTGCAAGATTTGGGTTTAGATCTCCGTTGTGACATGCAAAAACTAATACCTCAAACTCAGCTGCTAACGTGCCGAATAGTGGGAGAAAACGAAAGAGCCCATGACATGACACTCTCCGGTGTTCTCCTTTCCTTAGAAGTCTAATCAGAGGGAAGTGATGCGACACACAGGAAGTGATGTAACTGGCACAGTTTTGTACTCACTTGCTTCATCACCTCTTTATTTTTGTAATCAAACCCAGGGTTGTGCTAGCGTCAGAGTGAAGCATCAAACAGTATAGTGTATTACGGGAGTGTATGGCTTAGAGAGGTTACGGGAGCGACAGGTAGATATATTAAATGCAGCCCACTTCCCTTTCCCTTATGTCTGCTGGTGGCCGCTGATGCTAGGCTAACAGCTAACAGAGGGCGGGGCCTCATTCTTAGATCACAACCTGCTCACAGCAGACATCGGATCCAGGTCTTTCAGCACATGAAGTGAAGGTAACTCCTCAAGTGAAGGCGGGGCGACGCGTCGCCTGCGTTGCAGTTTTCTTAGCAGGGCCAGCACCTGAGAAGGACGCGCCTGTTAGTTTTATTTCAGTGCATTTTGTGCAATTCTCCCAAGTCCTTAATGACAAAGTGCTACTTTGCCTCTGCGAGCGAGCAACATTTAACGAAAGAAGCGATTAAAAAGACGTTGATCTGCATTGCGAAATCGTCGGCACACATTCAAGTCGTGGGGGAGTCTGACCCTTCCGGCGACCGCTCCATCGTTTTCTCCGCTGCCAAGTCAGTCCAACTCAGCATCCAGTGTTTTTAAAGCATAAATGAAGATAGTCTCCGCAGCGCTCCACTACTGCACAGCCGTGACCCACACGCAGTCTGAAGGTTCGTTCAGCTTACGGGAACCAAAGATGGTTGCGCAGTAGTCGGTCACGCCGCAACTCATTTCTTGATTTTTTTTATAAATATTTTTCTTATTTTTTTGAAGGATGTTTGTCGTAAATATTTTCATAAATTTACCACTTCTATCTGGTTTTAACCGTCAAGCCCTGGTGGACTCAACAAACCAAAGATTGGCCTTGAACACGACACGTACAGTACGTTTATGACGGAACACCCATGGAAACCCCAACAGGGCTTGCAGGCCTCACGTTCTCTTATCGCACAGATGAAAACATTTCTGTTTTATTTTTCTCTCAAAAAGCTCCTGCAAGTTTGGGAAATTGAACCTAAAGTGCACATTCCCTCTGCAAAGGGAAAAAAATCCTCCTCATATTTGTTTTAATACTTCACTCAGCGGCGACCTTTTTCGCCGCGCATTTAAACGTCAGGGAGTTTAGTACAGAAACTTGATTAAAGAAACACACACACTAGTGAGAATCCTCATGTCGGCGCCGCGTCGTTGCACCAGTTTTGCGGGTGTGGTGGGTGAGCGTTTTAGAAGTTCAAACACTTTGTGAAGAATTTGCTGTTAAACGAGATGAAAAAAAAAAAAGATTATTTTATACATGGCCTGCTGATTTTTTGGTACAGTGTTTTCTAGCTAAATTATTTTGTCATGCACATGTAAACCTTTATTATGCACTACTTTTTCTAAATATTTTTTTCTTCCTTTTTCCAACAGTCATTTTAGGCACATTTTTCACAAATGGGGAAACTCCTTTTTGCAATACCTCAATTTTTCACATTGTGAAAGGTAGCTTTTGTACTTTTGTTACTGAGAGATCTGCATATATGGAGATGTTCATTTTAAGAAAAAAAAACGGAAAAAAAGTAGAGTGCTTTCAAAATTGATTATTATAGTTATTATTATTATTTTCAATTATGCTTTTTATACATTTCCGTGCTGAGGAATCTTTACAACTTTACAAAGTGCGCAGTTTGTGTTGATGCGACTTCAGATGTGCAGAGGAGAGACCAAAGCGTAAAAACGCTGCATTGGTCTTAGCTTTTCATACACTAGATGTTTCCCGCAACAACAGCATGGCGAAAAAAACAAAACACTTAAAACAGATGAAAAAGAAAGAATAAAATAAAAACTGATGTAAATGTCTCTAAACCGGTTGGAAATAGTAACTTCCGTCTTGGTTTCCTCTCCATAGATGGAGCATAACTTATTACGAGGAGAATGCAAAATCTGGTTCACGCTTAACGCTGAATCTCGTATCACAAAAATGGATGTTTGGTGTTTAGATATTTTAATATTTGAAAAAAGAATTTATATATATAATATAAATATATATATGAATATATTCTTGAACTTGCCAACTAGCACCTATTGTAATCCTTAGCATGCATGACAAAAAAGAGAAAACGACAAGTACATGAATTAGCTATTAAAACTAATCGTTGTGGTGTGCACCAATGTTTCTCAACTATTACATTAAGGACCCCCCACCCCCATCAGATCTACTCTGCAAAAAAAAAATTGTTGAATTTACTTAACAGCTATGTCAACTGGTTCCACTAAACCTATTTGGTTGAATATAAAGAGTAATATATATTTACTTTTAACATACCATTGTTTATTACTCTTCAAATTTTGTGGAACTTAACATAACTTGTTAAGTAAATTCAACATTTTCTTTTTTTTTACAGTGTAATCTCACCTCAGCTCCTTCCCTTCTACCCCTCCTCTCGTGTTAACCCCGCCCACCCCGTTCACAGACCTCTGCAGGAAGGCAGAGATGATTAAAACTTTAGCTGTGGCAGTGCAGGACTCGGAGCGAAACACTGTTTAATAAAAGACTTGAGGAAAAGTCGTCCCCGCTGTCCGTCGAGGCGATCGTACTCAGACCTATCTGGAGGAAAAGGGGAGCTTAAAAGACTTGAATGTGGTAAAATGTTGCAAGTTAACTTCAAGTTGTTGTGTGCAATACTTCTTTTGAACCTTTTTCCAGATAAAAAAAGACTCTTTGCAATGTAATTCTTTAATGCCATTTTTAATTGCAGACATTGAATTAAAGAAGATGTTAATATGTTTTTCACAGTAATTTTCTACTGTTATTGTAATCCTTTTCATGCTGGTGTTTGTAAAAAAAGAAAAGAAAGAAAAGAAAGAAATCAAACTATTTGTACTAATATCAATAACTGAAGTTATTTTTAAAACATTATAAAAAGGTTTTGTGCTCATTTGCTTACTTTGGTTCATTTTAAGCTACTGTGATTGATTGCATTGTAATTATTAGGTCAACAATGTATTTAGCTGTTTATTGGTATATTTTTAATTGGAATGTATAATTGATTTTTATAATTTTGATCAGATTTTTGTTATATTTTTGAGGTGAAGCTTTTAATATGTTAAAGTGTCTAGTTTTTACTAATTGCTATATTGTGCTCCACAATATATGGTTCACATTTTCTGAAGGAAAATAAATATTTAAATATTTGTCTGTTAATGTTACTTAATGGCAAGATTTCAATAGTTTTTAACTGTGTATGGGAAGGTTGTTGTATTTATTAATAGCATTTTTTACTTAAGATATCACCTTAATTTTTATTGTCATTTCACTTTATAAGTTCCTATTTTTGTATTTTCCTTTCTTAAGTTATGTACGGATACGGATATGTTCATATTTCTTGGAGTTGGTCTGTAGAAGTGCTAGTGAAACAACAAAAAGAAAAATCTAATGTTATTTAATTGTTTGCAGCCAACTATTTATAACAGTATGCATACTTTTTAAATATTTGTAATGTGAAATGTTGAATGAAATAAATCTTAACTGTGATGAAAAGTGAGGTTGTGGTCTGCTTATTTGATTTTTTTTAGCGGCTGCAATTATTGTTTTTTTCCAGGGGCATGTCCAGGGAGTGCCTTGGGGTAGCACATGCCACCCTTGGAATCTGATTGGCCACCCAACTGAATTGAATAAACTTTACATTGTCCACAAAAGGCTTGAGGTAAAAAATAAATAATGAAAAAAGCAAAACTATCGCTGCCCCACCTGGGCCACCCCATTTTAAAAGATCTGGACACGGCACAGTTTTAGTCCAGCTTTTGCTTCATTTTTCTGTGTGTTCTGCAATTAAAGGTTCCTGCAGAAACGGGCTGGATAAGATCCGTATAATTTCATCTGTCACACCCACTTTGTTTGCCTCATGCCTTGTTTCAGTGAAGAAAGGGGGGATTTTCAGGTGTAGTCATCTGATTTGTCTCGATGCAACGTCTCTACACAGTTAAGCGTTTTCAAATTCTCCTTTTACTAGAAAATGTTGATCCCAAACATCTAACTCTGCCCTAAATGTTATTTCAATGGCAATGTTGATTTATTATGCTTAAAATGACAAAAACTGCTGAAATTTTGACAAAATTATTAATGGTAGGATTCATTTTTACCAGACTTTTATGGTCTTTGTTATATTTTTTCCATTGAAAGTTTAAAAAGACAGGGCTCTGTGTGAGCTTCGGGCTAACACACAGTTTGTGCATCACTTTTTAATAGAGTAGAAGTGGCTGGGGAAGTTAATGATAGTCACCATCTTGTTACAATATTTGTTTAGGCTCAGGCACCCTTAAGCAAGGCACAGGATCTTCAGTTGATCTCCTGGTGCTGTAACTATGGCCACCAGCTGCTTTGGGTGTGTTCTCTTTCTCCAGTGTGCTCTAAGGTTTGCACAATTTCAAATGGGCTAATTACAGAAAATTCATGTGTAAAAAAAACAAACAGCAAAAAAAAAAAAAAAAAAAAAACACCCTGGTCTTAAATATATTTCTTGCAACAACAAAAAACACACTCATTTATGAATCAAATTATTGTTATTATTGCATTAAAATGCAATGGCCCTGCTAATCCATTTACATTCTACTCAATGTAATTTTATTACAATTGCATCCACTTTATTGAATCTGGACCTGAGTTAATTTGGTTTGGTTCCTTTATTGTAGTGCTTAGAGACGAGTTATCATGAATATAAAAAAATAAAACGCCTATTTCATAATAAAATTGCATTTTATACATTTAACAGATTAATTATCCTGATGGAAATCGGTTTGTCGGACCTGTACGTCACTAGTGCTACCACTGAAGGGCGCTGCAGGACAAAAACAAACTTGATTTGTGTTGCGTTTATGTGCTGCGGGAAATAACTTGTATCAAATGCCCAGTTTCGTCAGAATTTCATTTTAAACCGTCCATCGTGGTCAGAATCTTTCACAACCCTCGGGGTTTCAAACACTGTAAAATATATTTTAAACTTTATCACATTTAAATGTTTTTTGTCTGTTCATGTTAAATTTACGTATTATTACGATAAAATTTAAAAGACGAGAATGTAGCCTTTTCCTTTAGAAGATGGATTTACGAGGAGCCACAAACGCACCACCAAATCCACTTTAGCCAAACAAACCAGACGAGCCAAAACATCCCCCCTAGCGGCAGCTCCAGCGGCTGGGTGTAGCATCACGGAGACGAGCTAGAGGCTGAGGTCGGATTAAAGGGGGTTGGGCTGCCTCGCTGTTCGGAACGCTGTCGTCAGACATCCATGTTGTCTCCGGCGTAGCAGCGTTTGTTTCCCCGCAGCAGCAGCACCAGCAGCAGCCTCCTCCATCCTCACCTGCTCCGCACTCTGCCGCAGCACGGAGGAAGGGACAGACTAGCACGCGCCGCTGTAAGTAGCAGCATCCCCGTTCTCTCCCACCGCTTTAGGAACACTTTCGGCTTTTTTCTGCATAAACGTGTTTCCCCTTCATGTTTCATGTAATTTGAAACTCGATAAATGATCATTTAAATTTCCATTTCTTTTTTTTCTATCAGGTAAATTCATTTAATTGTTTTAAATGAGGAAAGAAAGGTGCTTTAAAAGTTAAACCCAGCTTCCTTTGACCTGAATTAATGAAGGTGCATCTATTTGTCATCCCGTCCTCTCGTCAGGAGCAGTCGTGAGGGGAAATAAAGCATTAAAACAAGGTTGAAGATGGTCAAACTGGGAAGTAACCTTCAGGAGAAAGGGGCCAAACCCGTGAGTGTGGAGGACGGCTTCCAGAATGTGCCCCTCATCACTCCTCTGGATGTTGGCAGCCTCCAGAGCCAAGCACCTGGCAAGGTGTGTGTGTGTGTCTATCAGAACGAGCCCTCATTACATGTTTGTGCATCTGTCAGATTCCCCCCCCCCCCCCCCCCCCTCCTAAATCTCCCTCTGCTGCCATTAAGTCGATGTTGTTTATCCATACCATCCTTAAGCCTTTTTAGCAGACCCCCCCTCCCACACACACACACACACACATACACAATATTTCATTTATTCACACATTCATTCATCTCACTGTCTCCCAACTGTCTCTTTTGTTTTCTGGCTGAGATTAGGAGACAGATTTGGTGCCAGACAGCCTGTCATTTGTCATTTTAACATCCCATAGTAATTTCACTTGCTGCTCATTAATCCAGTTACCATGGCGGCGGAGCAGAGTCGATTGGTGTATCCGTGAGGTTGGGACAGAGAGCTGCACTGATTGCACATTATGAAAATGAATGAAATGAGGCACTAGGAGAGCTCATTATGGCTTCCAGCACATTTGAGGGCTTCATACAGAAAATGCTTTGCAACATGCTGCCTGTTTTTGGGGCAAATGTTAAAAGTTTTCCCACTTTGTTCTTTCTGATAGCCTCTGCTTTCCTTTTGGAGTATTTTAATAAGAACTGCAAAATGAAAATAGATCATTTGCAAATCTTATGTTTATTTTAAAGTTAAAAGCTTTTGAGAAACTTGCCTTGCTGCAGCTAGTTCACTAAAAACAAAGAACTAACAAGGTTGTGTGCACAATACAGCTTTAATGGGATGGAAAACAATTATTCGATTTATTTTCTGAAGAGTGAAGTGATTAAAAAAGTTGATGGAATAAACACTATTTTTCACATTTTAAACAAAACAGTAATTATCTCATGTAAATGATGTTGATTGTATTAGTGGTGTAAAGTCATGACCTTCATTGTGCACTGATGTGCTTCGCTGCTGAGTGTGAGCGATGCTAGGATGAGAGTAAGCTTCTCCATATCCGCGGCTAAACTGGCTCCTTAATTCATGTTGGGAGTCTTTGGTTCAAGGGAAGGAATTCAGGTATCTTGGTGCCTTGTTTGCATGTGATGGTAGGATGAAGATACACGTGGACCGATGGATCCGGTCTTTGTCTTCAGTAATGAGGTCAGTGCTTTGTTGTCGTGATGAAGAGGAGCTGCACTGTCTATATGGCAGGATCATCATACCTGTTTTTGACCAGCTCCACTTCTTCTGATAATCTGGAAGTTGAGCATGATTACTGTAATGCCTCTAAAGATAATCTTATCAGATAATCTTACCGTGTGAGGTGTGTTAAGAGTTCTTTGGTCCGCTCTGAAGGACTGCTCCAATCATAAATCTGGGATTTCAAACATGTTAGATCGTCTTGGTCTAATCTTCGAGGACAAACAAAGGTGCTGCCTTTTGAATGGGACGTCTGGCCAATCAGAAAGCAAGGTTACGGAAGTGCGCTGAAATCTCCTCCTACGCCATGTTTGTTTACTTTAAAGTCACATTTGATCTTGTAAGAATTCCCACCCGAGCAAGGAATGTCTGGGAGTTAAAGCTTTTCTTGTGTGGTGTGCATACACACTGTAGGACCAAAACCGGCATATCTGTGATTCTGTTATCACCACATGTGTGGTCTCTCATGCTTAGAAAGTCTGCTGCCTACGTAAAAATTGTGTTGTGTGAACTGAGCTCTAGAGGTCAAGTGTTGGATTTTAGACCAGGGTGGCTGCTCCTCCTCAGCTGTCAGCTGAGGGTAAATTCAGCAACAACAGTAAGTCCATGTAAACAAAAACTGTTTCCTAATCAAAACTTTGGAAATTAACATCAACTGGAGATGATCTGGGAGCAAATCCTGACATCTTGTCATTTTGTTGCTTCACAAACTCAGAATAAAACCACAAAAGAACGTCTAAAAGGTACAAATGCATCTTAAGATTTTCATTGTGTTTGTTGCAAATTTAAAGCTACTGCGGGCATTTTCCCTGGTGATTGGGAGCAGTATATACCTAAATCCTTACAAGCAATAGGTATTTTTGTGTTAGAGTGAGACCTTACCAACAGATGGCCATTAGGGTCAAAAATCACTGGGAGGGCAATTCTCAAAAGAGTACTTTGTCAGATCGTTCAACGTCCAGCAGAATGACGAGCACATCAGACTCCCTTTCATCACTGGCAACTAGTGAAGAGGTAAATGTGTAAAAAAACATTGTGTGTAAATGGTGAAAGTTTTGTACCTGTTTGTTACAAATACGTTTTGTCCTCATGGGCTTCCGTGTCTAATATGGCGTCACCCACAGACTTAGACCCGCTCCCATGTGTTCTAGACCTGATTTTTATGGTTATATGTTACAAAGCCGTCAATATTTATCTACAACTGGGCATATTTGAATTCATTTTCAACATTTGAATGGATATTTCCAGAGATTAATGGTAAAAACTACACATCTTTAAGCATAAAGGGCCCCCATTTGGCTTTTAAAAAGCTTTTCCTTAGCTATTATTCTATTTAGATTTCTCATCTTATTTTGTCAGTTAGAATCAACCTCAAACGCGCGTCTTCCTGCAGGTCCTGCAGACAGAAATCACGGCTCTGTTTGAATCCACATTCTGCTGAGGGAGGCAGCGCCGCTTTCCATTTCTTCTTCCTGCTAAATGATTTATCCTTCGTTGCACTCACTGACACACACACAATGTGTGTACTATTTAGTTATGTTTATACTCGGTGTGTGTTTGAGAGTGACTGGCATATCGATGATGTCAGCAGCCACCCCTTTATGACATGTCATACGTGGGGTCATCAGTCATTTCACACTGATTAAATCAGTCCCAACTGAATAAAGAAAACCACCACACCCTGCATCCAAAGCAGCTACTGCTGGGTAGAGAACACACACACACACACACACACACACACACACACACACACACACACGTTTCTCCTGTGTTGTGGGACACAAAGACTGCTTTTGCTCGCTGCTTTCAGGTAAACTTGCTGAAGGTTGACGCAGATTTCATGTGTCGTTTCTCTGAGCTCAGAGCTGAGGAGCTGCAGGTCCGGCTGCTGCACGCAGATGCAAACAGGTCCATTTGTTCTTGAATGGGACACTTTGGGATTCGGAAAGGTCAACTCGCCTCTAAATCTGTGGCTTTGTTAGGAGCTTTGGGGGCAAGAATTTGTGTCCTTGGCAGGTGAGGCATAAATTCAACACGGTCCAAGAAGAAACTGAGTAAAGCTCTAAAAACAAAGCTTAAATTATCCTCTTGGCCCTCCTGCCATTACCCAACACACCAGAATTTCCCCACTGGACCAAAAACAAAAAAGGATATTTCTGTTTTTATTCTGATCTAATCTAAATAAGATGGCAATTGGTGAAACCAGCCCGTGACTTTGTGCAAGGTCTAAACTTTTTATGTCCTGAAACCAAACCTGTAGCAGAACAGTTCTTTGTTTCACGTCACAAAAACCACAATAAACAATAGATAAGGATCTAATTGTATATATTTAAATGAGCAAACAGGAAGTAGCTTCAAATCCCACAGGCAGTGTCTGATGTGTCCCAAATGCCACAAGTTTAATGGAGGCCTGAACAGGTAGGCATATCAAAATAAAAGCCGCTTTATACCACCAGCACCTGCTGTCTGCAAACACAACACAACTTTTTAAAGGCACAGAACCAAAGCTACCAGCTACCACCACGGCTTGTTCAATTGATCCTGTTTCATATAATTCAATTTCAAATAATATACAACTCTTTGACGACTTGATTATTATTATTATCCTGAGCTACTACAGCAATCAATTCCCCTCTGGGATTAATAAAGTATTTTTGAATTGAATTGAATTGAATATGCAAATTAGTCCACACCTCCTTCCAAAGTTTTCTCACATTGCTCATACTTCCTGACGTTTGTATAGATTTAAATTCCAATAGGGTTTGCAATGGGATCACACCTGATTATGCGTTGCACTCTGGAATGTGCGCAGACATATCGATGGCCTTACGAGTGTAAACAAACCGTGAAAACAAACGGTACTGTCGCAGAGAAGAAGCAGATTTGGGGGAAAGGAAGTTTTATACAACATGTTAAAATCCCAAAGAGGATGCGTAATTTACAGGGATACGTTAAATAGAGAAAGTAGGGACCCGTATGTGGACAAAATCAGCATTATAAATGGTTTTGATCCATATGAAAGACTGGAGCATTGACTGGAGCATTGATGACAACTTGTTGCTGCTGCTGCAGCTCTGCATAATGGACATTTTCGGCTTTCTTGTTTGTGGTGTGAGCAGATGTAAACGTCCAGATGAGAGGTGAAGGGAAAATTGTCATCCTGGAAGTGTAGCAGAAGTTTTGTTGTTTTTCATTTGTGTGTGTAGCCTTTGTGTGTGTTTCATGTGAATGTCACGGTTGAAGGAAAGAAACAATGTATTAAAAACGTACACCATCTGTAACTTACCAGAATGAAAATACTCCGGAAAGTGATGTTTGGTCACCTTACAGCTGCGATCCAAGCGAGCCGACGAGACTTTGTTATGTTGGATACTTGGTCTCCGCGGTTATGCCTCGAAGCAGAAAAACGATTAAACATTTTCCTATTTTCCATCTTTGTCCCTTGACAATCACGTGTTGCACCTCACAACAGCAACGACTTACCACGATTGCGTAATGTAACCGATCAAATGAATAATAAGTTAAATGAAGCCACTAAAAGGAATCTGAGCGCGTTGCTGTCTGGAGTAACAAATAAGTAGGGCTGCAACTAACAATAATTTTCATAATCGATTAATCTGTCGATTATTTTTTCGATTAATCGGTTTGTTATTGTTTAGCTATTTAACCTATACAAGTGATGAATACATTTCAGTTAAGAAAAAGAAAAACATAAGAGAATTGTGCAGTTGACTGCAATCTATTTTATTGCACATGAACACAGTCAGCGGTGTAAAATGAGCTAAACAGTGCAAAATATCAGTCCAGAATAATTTTTTTGCATCAAAATATAAGAGGTAAATTCCATAAAAAATTATGTAGAATCT